ATTCATACTCCTGAGTGAATGACGGCCTTCTAATACGTGTGTTCGAGGATTGATTTCAACACTACATACATGATATTTAAAAAGATATGTTAAAATTTTAAAAAAATGTAATGGTGATTTCCAAATATTCTAGTTTATAAAACAAACACTTGTAAGGTTGGTCAACTTCCGTTGTGGTGTCTTCGTTCAAATTGGGCATTGCTTGTAACATGGAAATCACGTGAGATGGCCCAACGTCATTTGTTGCCACAGTTTGTTCTACAGCAAGTTCAGAGATTTCTATAGGACATCTAGGGTGTGGTTCCAAATGCGTCATGACGCCTTCTTCAACATTTTGTGGAGGCATTCCTCGAAGCATTGTGTTCATAGACGATGACTCTAGAAATTCTATTGGCACAATTTGTTCTATTACATGCATAGTCGGTTCTTTTAATTGACATCTCTCCCGTTCTCGACGTGCACGTTGTGCTAATTGACGTGTTGATAAAACATTGTAGTTGATTTCCTAAAGAATAAATTTGAAATTATATAGCGGATTAGGATATAAAAAATGTAGTACAAAAGTCTGCGGTTGAACAATAATGGAATACATCATAAATATTTTTTTAAAAAAAACATATTTAAGCATACATACCACTTGTGGATCTATATTCTCTTTTCCTTTTCCTTTTGTAGAGCTGGATGTTGCCACTGCATTTGACTTTCGTTTTTCCTTTTAAAAAATAAAATGTATAAATTAAGAATTATTACAGTAGAAAAGAGTTCATAATAATACTAAAATCAATTGACGTGTCACCTCTTCAGCTAAGCGAAGGCAGTTAAGATCACGTTCATCACGGATTACAACACCTAAGTTTTTTTGACGAAGTAACTAGACCTAGAAATCAAAGAAGGATAATGCTAATTTGAGTGATAAGAAGTAAGAATTGAACACCTATAAGAATTAAGAAAATTAATGATAAGAAGAATAGCTTACTGTGCGTGCTAGGTCAGTATCCATCTGTAAAAATGGTTGAAAAAACTATAATAAGTATGAGATTACTTATAGGAGAGGATTAGAAAGAAAGTTATACATATATAACTTACATGACCAAAAATAGTGATGTTATAGGGTGATTCCGAATTTGTCGAGGTTCCTTCACCAAAATTGGACCCGTTGAGATTATTTGTAGGCATCCCTCGGAGCATTGTTGTCATAGACGTTGACACCGGGATATTTGTTGGCACTGTTTGTATTTCTATAAGTGAAGGAAGTTTCCCAGTCACAGGCGTCGATTGATTGCGAGGTCTCTTCACTGATGATTGTTGTATTTGAGCTTGATGGTGGCGACTCGGGGTTAAGGAAGGGAAAAATCTAGGTTGACTGGATGGACGTTATGATCTTTCCCGTTCCCGACGTGCACGTTGCCCCAATTGATATTTGGTTAAAACATTATTATTGATTGCCTAAAAAGTAAATAAGAAACATATATTATTGTGAATAATAAGTAACTTTTTTAAAAATTAATTAAGTCTTGAATGGGCAAATGACCAATCATACCACTTGGTCATCTGTATTTTCTTTTCCGTCGACAGAATCATTTGCTTTTTCTTTTCCTTTATAGCTAGCATTCACCATCATGTTTGACTTTTTTTTTTATCTAAGCAAATAATTTGAATTAGTAATAAACATATATTTAACAATATGTGTGAATATTACAAACACATGAATGTTGGAGCTTTGTAAAAGGAAAAAAAATTAATGCAATCCAAAAGGGAAAAAAATAACACAATCCAAGTTTTTGTGTAAAGAGACAGACATTATTTATGAATTGGTGCAATGAATTATTGGAGCACAACCATTTATGATTTGTTGTTTCGTGCTATTCACTAAATGTTGAATTTGTATGATTTGTGTTCATAGTAATATTTTTAGTTTTATATCATTCTTCGTGTTGTTCACTAAATATGAATTTAAACTTGTATATTTTAAATGTTAAGCATATTTTATTTAATATATCTTGATATCTGAGCTGCCCAATAACTTGAATTTAATCATGTATATTTAATATGTTAAGCATATTTTATTTATTGTTTCGTGTTGTTCACTAAATAGGCGTCGAATTTTTATGATTCGTGTTCATAGTATTGTTTATAATTTTGTATCATTTCTCTTGCTTGTAATTTTGTATCATTTTTCTCGGGGATGTAGATTTGGATTATTTAATAAATATTAATTTTTTGTGTTGTTCACTAATTATCAAATTTTTATGATGTTTAGAAATTTAATTAAAACTTGACAATGTTAATTGAGTTCTCTTAAATATTAAATTTTGTTCACCAGCAAGGTGAGTTAAGCAAACAAAACTCACCTTACACCTTGAACCAAATAAAATATTGAAAAAAACTTTATGAACAGTGCTAATTCTTAATATTAAACCATATCACCAATGTCAAAAAATTAAATCTTATATTAAAATTCAAAACAAAACGCACCTTACACTTGAACAGAATAAACAACTTAGCAGCACCAAATTATCCCAATGCAATGAATTTTTAGCGGCAAGAATTCAATTCGTCGAACTCTCGAACCCAAATTACAAAAACCTTGTCCACCAAAAACTAATACTGTTATAAACAAAAGGAAACATTAGAATTTAATGTAAATATTGGAAAAAATTAGATAATATAATTTTGAATAGGGAAACATGCTTGCAATAAAAACAGAACACGATAAGCTAGAAAAGACTGTGAATCCAAATGATTAACAAATAATCGAGTTATATTAAAAATTAAGTATTGAATTTAAATTGTAATACAATAGTTAAAAAATGAATTTTGAAAAACACCAACAGAAAAATGAAAAATCCTCATATAATATCAACAGTTTATACTAAATTTGGCACATTCAAGCAACAAAATAGAATCGCACTGAACAATCAATGTAGAACATTTGCATTGAAAAAAATAGTCCACTCGAAAAGAACTCGAAAATAAAAACCCAGAAAAATATAGCATCAAAATAAAAATTTAATGGGAGAAGTAAAGTTTCTGACTAGAGTTGAAATATTTGTCATCTTAGTTGGATGTTGCCGGAATAGAGAAAAGAGACTCTCAAAAGCAAATCAACTAAATACAATCAATATAATGGAGAAGAAAGTCTAAAAATTAGTAGTGTTCTTCTTGCAATTTTAGTGCCATACGATTTTTTTGGGAAAGTTTTACCAAAGTGAGGGACTGACCAAGCAATGCCTGACATGAAGTTTCAAAATAGATTCATCACTCAAAACAGTATACCGTCACTTCAAACAATGTGCAGATTTTAAAAAATAAAATGCAAAAATCAAATTCAACCAAGTATCACACGTAGTATTGTGAAACATCCACGACATGAACGGTACTCATCCAAAAAAATCCTATCAAACCCATCATTTCGAACTCTTCATGTGCGTAACTCTTTTGAGAATTTTTGTTCAACACTTGATATACGTTGTGGTAGCTGTGGTTCAAACCAAACCCAATTAGTCAAACACAATTAGTTGTGCGTGTGATTTGCATGCGCAATGTGCATGCGTTATGTTGTGTTAGTTTGTGTGTTGTGCAGAAAGTTGATGAGAGAGAGAGGACCTGAACTGTATTTTCGGTGATGTACCTCTCAGTGGTGGGTCGTCGACGGTGGTGAGTTAGTCGGATGTGTTCAGAGAGGGAGGGGGGGAGAGAAAAAGACTAATAAAGGAGAGAGACAGAAAAGCAAGGGAAGAGAGAAATAGGGAGCATGAGCAAATTAAGCCGTGAGTGAGACTAATTGGGAGTAGAGAGAGGGGGGAAGAGTATTGCCGGAGTAAAATTTTGAGATATTAATTATGGAAATTAATATTCTGACAAAGTAATTGCGGGCAAATATTCTAGCAGTAATTGTTGGGTTTGATTGTGTTGACCAGTTGGAAAAATTAAATTTAGGGATGCTAGTTTTAGAAACTAAAAGTTTTGAGCAGCAAAAATTTTTCAGGAGCTAATATGATATGTCGGATCGAAACGATCTGAGACGTCAATAGTTTGAGACAATTTGAAATAGCGTCGGCCGTTAGATGATGTCTTTTTTAATCTCGAAACGATCTAAGCCGTTCTTTGTCTCTTGAATTCAAAATCGTTCTACTTTATTATATAGATAAATTAAAATTTATTTTTTATACAAACGAATCGAGTCGAATTGAATTTCCAGCCGGATATCCAAAAAGTTGTTGAATTCGGATATCATCTAAGAATTTCAAATCAGTTGAATAATCGAATCGAATGACATAAATTGCATTCGGATATGACAGAATTCAATTAATATTTAATCCGCTGACCGGTCAAGTTACGGTATAGTCATTGTGTCCCACTTATCTGTTTATTACCCTTTTTAGGCTTATTTTACATTTTTTTCCTTTTTGTATTCCCATGGAATTATCTCCATTTACAACTCCAATTTTATGGGCTCACCTCAGATTCTCAAGAATGAAAAACAAGGCGCTACAATCCGATTTATCCCCTTGTCAGCACTTCACACCCCCCCCCCCCCCCCCCCCCCCTTCCCTTCCTTTTTGAACTTGCACTGACCTGGTCTTCAATATGACACCTTTGTTTCAAGAAACACAAGGCTACAATTTTCCATACATGTCCAGGCACCATTCTTAACAAGGCAATATCATGTACCTAAATATTATAGATTTCGATTAAATGAAGATATCAAATTAAAATAAGATGGAAATATATCAAGAAGGATGCAGCTTAAATAATGCTACTAACCGTGCAAGTATACAATTTTTGAAATTTTTTAATTTGACCAACGGAACCCAATCGGAAAAGAAAAAAAAATCAACTTTTGTATTCAATCCAACTTTGATCCTACACTGTCATACTGGCATAATTCAAAATTTCACCCAATCTAACAAGATTATGAAGGGTCTTTGTGCAACAAGCTAATGAGCATGCACAATTTGATCTTGTGGAAAATATTGTTACTCTCAGGTGTTGATTTATCAATCCAGCTTTAGGGCCTTTGTTATGAATGCTCTGGTAACCACAATCAAAACGTAAGCGAAGATGGTGACAGCAATACCCAACAGCAGAATCAGATGGTCATAAGCAGCACCCTGAACTGTGTACACCCGAAGCCGTATCATTTCCCAATTGCTCTCTGTCCAGACAGGGTCTTCTAGATCCATTGGTTCAGAGGAATTGCGGGGTAACAAATTCCATGTTTCAGACTCAAACTTCAAACGGGTGGAATATGCTGGTACATACCTGAAATGATATAATTACAAGTTATGAATTCAGCAAACCCACCTAGGAAGCTCGGTAAATAACTACTACAAGGGCATAGAAGTTGCTGGGTTCCACCCAGATCAAACTGAGCAAATAGCAAGTAACTGCCACAAACCACACTACCATCAGACTGCATGAGACAACGGTCAAATTTAGTAAACAAGCAGTGTATAAGGAAGAAGGGGATCACCAAGGTATTCAATCGGTCTCAGGAGTAAACAATGATGGCGAACCACACAGGCCAACTTTAGCCACTATAGATACCTCGGCATTTGAACAAAATCTGTGACGGTTCAAAAAGGTGGATTTAAGTGCTAATGATCTCCTCTAGAGTGGCAGCAAGACATGATATTCGCGTCACCTTCATTGCAGACTCTATTGGAGTCCAAGGGTCAGAAAGGATTCTCTACCCCAGCTTTAGCTGGGTATAAGACAGCACTAACATTCCTTGTTTGTTTCCTCCACAAAAATGACTAGGATAGCAACATAAAATGTGGATCATTTGACCTGAGGTATACAGATAATGTGATGACGGCAAACTGGGCTTGATAGGGATATTCAGGTTTAATAAGGATAAGGAGCTGACCAGGATAAAAATGAACCCATTTATTAGGGAACCATCCCAGCCTTGCCCCCATTGACAGGTCTTATTCAGGTAGGGGTGGGTTAGGATGAAAAGCATATCCACTTGTGGGCATGCATTGCAACTGTTTTATTTGATTAGTGTTGCCAAAATAGCAGGTACCTGGTTGAGGAGATAACACAGACCCCCTTCCCATCTGTCTCCACTTTGATGCACAGTTCACCATTGTTATTGCAAGCTTGTGGGCAAGAAGAACTAGCATTCTTTGATGGGATAGATGTTTTCTCGGCCAGAAAGTTCCACACAAACCTTGAAACATCACTCACATAACCAGTATAAGGTGTGGATGTTGGTTCCCCAACGATGACACCGACATAATTGCTCGGGCAAGTGTTGGCGGGTGATATATAGTCCTTCACCAGTTCACATGATAAGCCCAGCTCACAACTTAATAGGCAACCCAACAGTTCATCTACCAAAGAGGCATTCACATTGATAGCACTTAGAGCTGAAGCACTAAGATTCTTTTTATCACTAGCAAGAATGTAAAGTGTTCGGGCAACAAGGGAAGCAGCTGCCACTATGGCTGAAGAGTTGATATTAGCTGCACAAAAAGCAACATATTGAATGAGAACAAAGAAATAAAATGTCTACATTTAAAGTTCAGATGAATCAATCAGAAAAATGGAAAAGCACCCAAGAATTAGATCAACTCACACAGATCATCAAGGTGACTGTGGTAGAATTTGTTGATGAAGGCTGTATCAAAATCTTCTAAGACTATCCCAGAAGTCTGAGAGTTCTGTTCGAGACAACAAAGTCAAAACTATTAGAGAAATATGGCCAAACCACATATTAACTGACATTTCATATGCACTCTAGATTCCAAACAAACTTTCTGATGCAACATTGTAAAGCTTCTTGTCTCAGACTATAAACCTTTTTTGCCACCATCAACTCTCAACACAATCCTATTTCAAAAATACACCTGTTAGCATTGGGGGGTAATGAGAGAATTGTTCCTCTGCTCCATACAGCCAGATAAAAGCATCTCAGCAATAAGAAGAAGCATATCGCTAGAATGTTCAAAAGCTCCAACTTCTGTTTCTAAATAAACATTACAGCTGACACCTTTTTGGCATGTGGAAAGAGAAGATAAGAAATAAGAAAAAGAGCCATGCTGTCAGCTTGGTTTCTTGCTCCCAGTAAAGCAATTTGGGGAAGTACAAAAAGATAAGGCCTTTTCTGTAACTCGTTTTTTGTGGGTTTTTTTTTTTGTGGTGTGTTTTTTCTTTTTTTTGGGGGGGGGGGGTTGGTTGTTTAGGGAAACGGAAAAAGAAGTATGCAGGATAGCTGGTGATATCATCTAAGCACACACAAGTACTTAACGTAGGGTCTGTATATTTTGATCTAGCATTCAATAGTTGAAGATACAGACAACTACCATGCCCATCACGGGAGGATTTTGAAACCTTGTTACAATAACAAACCAAAGGGGCATTATTTTACATCACAAAGATGAGCAGACCAGTCACATAGGCTAGTATTTGCTTTTTTTCTTTGATCAAGGGATGATGGAACAGAAAATTAAAATGGTAAATGATTCAGTGAAACAGAATATTTGCAATTGACATTAGATGCTAAATTGGCATTTACAGATTTACTAGTACATCGAGGAACTGTTCCCAAAAAACCAATAATAATGATTTGAAACAAACAAACCAGGAACCATGGGTCTTCTAGCTCAAGAAGCATCCCCTTCTGTCAGGAAGGTACACGGCCCAGATGGTAAAAGCAAAACATAGGAACTAAAATTTGCGTGGTTCAAACCTTCCTCAGAAATGACATCAATGATGACGGAGGTATCCCAGGATTCGATGCACTAGCATTAGAGATCTTAATGCCTCCAGTTTCGAGTGAATCTTGAGCACGGTGCAAGGCACTCAATGTTTCATTTGTGGCCGATAATCCCTGCAAGAACAACCAGGCAAGCTTTAGTCCACAAAGTCTACCAATACCAGAACTAATTGTTCATATAACAAGTAAAAAGGGTAAAACAATAGGTATTAATCTACCAAATATAAATGTATGGGAGAAGTGATAAGACATAGACTACAATCAAATTACTGATACTTCTTTTCTCAAGTATAACTAAGCACAACTACTTTACTAAACTGCTTCGATCTGAAGTTGAAGATGACCAAAATTTGCTCTGCTTTGATGTACTGTATAGGACTACTTTTTCTATCCTCAACTACATATTAAGTTTTGCAACAATATTTTCACAAAACCACAATCTAAACACTTATACCAACAGCGCTTCTACTCCCCTTCTACCTAAAAACCACAGTACCAGACAGCAATATCATCGCCCTGGCTTATACCATTAAGTCACTAAAAGTCACAAGTTGTGACCATCATACCTGGGAAGCCACGAGCACCTCCACATTCAAGATTCATTGTCTTTTCTAAGGATGTCACTGCCACCGTAGTGCTTAAGTGCACGGGTGACCAGTTACTAAGGTACAGTTGACAAGAATACGATATAGGAACATGCATCCACATGCCATTAATGCACAGGAACATTTTAGATGGCTCCAAAAATAAATAATGTCTTACCCCTGTTGTATGAGCAAACAACGTTTTGACCCCCTGATCAAAACCCTTTCCAACCGACCCAATTTCCACAACCTGCACAAAGTCATTCCACATAGTAATGTTTTGCATGTTAAAAAATATTATCATTCATAAAAGGGATTAACCTCCGATTGTGAGATTTCCATCTTAGCAGGTAACCAAGGCATGCATAATATGACAAAGCATGTTGATAAGCATACACAAAAACTTAGTCCTGTAAGGTGTGCAATGGCTCGAGTGCTGAGGGCACCTAAGACTGCTTAACCTTCCAACAGATTTCCACATAGCATGACAAGCTATGCTTCTAGACATATCAGAGGATCACTAATGCAGCACAGTGAAGAGAATTTAGTGTTCCCCTTGTGAGTTCTTAAATAAAATTTCAGCTCTTTTTGAAAAGTTACTCCTGTTGTCTTAATTCTTATTATGGAAACAGACCAGCAGTTGATCAGCATGCCCCCAACCCCAAACATAAAGACGCAGTTTCTATGACTATTTGGAGGCATGGCTATCATCTAATAGTGGACCTGGTTTTTTCTCTCTAGCTGCTAAGGCAAGTTGTTTTCTGAAGTCTCTCCAGCTGTTAAACATATGTCGGAGGCAAGTAGATTTTCTAAATATTAATTCAACCAAATAGACTAAGACAGCAGCTTCATGATGGACCCCTCACAAAATTAACAGCTATCAGATTTCTGGTTAATGTCTACAATCATTTTTAAAATCTTCCCTTTCAGCGCTGGGATACTTCTTATTAACCGCTGAAACAAAAAATTTAAGTAGGAGTTCTAGTTCAGAAATAATGAAGAATTAGAAGAAAACTCCTGCACAATTGTTACGTCCACATTTGCCTACAGTTAAAACAAGGTTACAAAATAAGCCCAGGTAAAATTTCAAAGACAATGCAATATGTCCTGATTTCCTTATGATTTGGTTGGCATCTAAAGAGAAAAGCTAAGAAAAGGTATTTGGAATCTAAAGCTCATATCAACAAAAAAGGCCCAGGGATCCAGAAAAACAACCTCTGTTATTCTCATTATCATGAGAATTTATTTTAAGCAGAACCAAGGCTCTGCAGCCATGCAAGTGCAATTACTGGCATTCCAACTTCTTCAAGATACAATACTTAAGAACCAGCTTTGTATACACCATGACTTCCCAAAAATGGAAAGGAGGCTGGGTTTTACATTTGCACAAATTTTCCTATCCTTTTATCTAGAATGTAGAAAATGCACACTAGATCAGGACTCCTTTTGCAAAATGTCTAGCAGACCACATTTCCAAGGGCAATAAATCATCCAAAAAAATAAAATCCCTTAACCAGAAACAAAATCTACACACTGGTATCTTTTTCAAATCAAAGTATTAATATTCCTATCACAACCCATGGAAGGAACTTCCTTTCCTCCAGTGAATCAAACTTACCGGATGAAACTTCCCTTCCCACCCACACTAGATGAAATATCCTTTCCTTCTTCAAAACTCCCCAAAGGAAATCCCTCTGAATCATTTCCAGTCTTTTTTCCACTAAAGCTGGGATAGGAAAGAATGTTTGCAAGTGAAGATCTCTCAAGAGTGCAAGTCTACCACCTTTTTAGAGGCATCTCTGCTTCACTTTATTCCACACAGCCGTGGCCTCATGCTAAGAGCTAAATGGGATCCCAAACATTGGCCAAAACACCTTGAAACATCCTGAAACTCCTTAAAATATTCCAAAACACCTCGAAAAATAGGAATTTGAATATCCAAATACCGATTCATTTTGTTTCTATGGAAACGGAAACGTTTTGGTTATTTTGGCGGGAAAAAATGAAATTTTGATCCTTTAGTAGGACCCTCCTCAGGTAATTGGCCTTCTCCCAAGATCTCTGTCCACCATCAGAGTTTCACTGTCCTGTCACCTTCGTTTTGCATGTCCGCCATTGTCTTAGGGATGTCACAGCTCAAAAAATTCCCTTCTTGTTCCCTATGGTTCCTCAATCTTGCTATGCACATCTTCTAAAAGCAATATCCACCCCTGCATACCCTCCATTCATTTTGTTCTCAATAAAATAAGTAGATGGATCGGTCACCCTCTATTCATGGCGCAGATAAATATGTCATTTGATGTCTCCTCCAAGACCATGAAACGGCTGCCAATCCACATATTGTCTCTGATAGATGCAGAGAGAATCACGCTTCCATTCTTCTGACACCACTCCAGTCCAGTCCTTGCCAGCCTTCCTTCCACAAGCTTCTTCCAATACTGAACAGAAAAAGCCGAGAGCCTCTTGCTCAAGCTTGATGTCATTCTCCCTCCTTACTCCATGCCCTTTAACCACCAGTCAGATTCTTCCCTAGAACCTGTCCTATTATGTTAGGACTCAGCACTTTTAATTTGCTCTTTTCTTGTTAGCCAGCTTGGCCTCGTTTTGAAGCCAATCTCAATATTAGATTGGACATTCTCTTCAAAAATGTGTAGGAAAAATATCAGCTATTCAACCAACATCTGTGATGTTACACAATCCTCTTACAAAAAACACTATGGAAGTCTGATTCTAACTAGTAGAAGAGAAATATACCTTTTCAATCAACGAGTTGTTAAGGCCATAAACAGCATCAGAGTTCTGATCAAGTTCAAGAAGAAATCTCGGCTACCAAGATAGCCCCAGGCTTCTCCGGTAAAAACCACAAAAACAAGCTGCAGTACAGAAAAGGGAAAGGAGAAGGATCAGCCAAACAAGAAGAAGTTTACAAGATACAATAGAGCTACAACAACCATTGCAATCCATTCCCATAACAAAAAGGTCAAAAAGTCACATGACAACCAGCCAAATAAAACTAGTCTCAAATGAATCACAAGACATGCAATTAGAGTAAAAGACATTCCTCTAATCGCCTCTTTGGGTATAACATTCTGCTGTGAATTTAGTTGGCCATGAATACAATAAACTGGGTGAAAGGATAATGCAGAGAAGCAAAAAATCTTTAAGCACATGGCAAAGAGCCAGTGACCCCCATGCTTATGCCTAGCCCAAGATGCATATTTGCAGAATGCCTCATATATAGCAACAGTAGATAGATGATCAGTTTTTTGAATAACATCTGTCACCAGGAAGATTGACACAATAGGAGGAAGTTT